GTTTGGCACCGGTATCGGATAAAACCTAAACGATACCCATCCCTACTCTCCACACAGTCTGCCTCAACCGGACTGTGACAAAATCGTCTGAACATCCAGACTTCTGTGCTAAATGTGAGCTTTTCCATCTTTGCTGAGATATAATCAAAGTATAGTTGTGATTAGTGTGTTAAATGTAGATGAGTTTGTGTGTGTAGATGCGGTCCAAGTTTGACCTTGATGTGTGTGTGGGTGGCCACAGGAATGTGTCAACAGCCCATCACTATAGGTTTGAATGGTTAAATTCATAATTAATATGTGACTGTGCTGATAGTTAATTATGTTTAACATTGATCAGAATATAACCAGGTGTATCAGCGTTGCACTGCCTGCTGGGTAACACCCACAGCATCAGGGTTAGCACTTTTTTAACAGCTGATCCTGACTTCCTGTATTAGGTTGTTGGTCCCGCAGAATAAAACCAATGTCTGTTGTTTCCTCATTTTATGAACAACAAAAAGAAAAACAAACTAAATACATAAATGTTTCATAATATAAGGTTAATATGAACCTCATCTGAATTATCCAAGCAGTCGTAGTCTCCGTCACAGCGGAATCGGGAGGAGATGCAGTCTCCGTTGGCGCAGGCAAAGTCCTTGTGGTTACAGGTGACGGGCTCTGAGTAGGAAGAAGACACAAAATCAACCATGTGATTCTTTTCCCAGCGTCGCTCTCAGCAAACGCTCCGTGTTTAGGATCACACGCTAATGCCTCGGCAAAACCGCCGTTTTATCTAATTAGAGTCATTTTGTATTAGAAGTGGATGAACTGGCAAAGCTGATCAAGATGTAAATACATTCATTTCTACGCTGACAACAAGCGGAGCAGCACGCTCTCTGAAGCCAACAATCTTGTATTTGCCATTTAGTGCAAGTCTGTCCCCGAGGACGTTATTAGGACGCAGCTAAACAGCTGCATCAGATCCTCCGTCTGGGCCTCCCCCCGTTATCGTGGACTCTTAGCTAACTCTGGGTGTGTGTTACGAGCTGTTCTGTAACCCAGACTCCCAGCAGGCATTGCAGCAAAATCTGATTTGTAGCCTCTCTATTGTCTCCGAGTCCACCTGTTTAATTCTGCACCGTCAAACACTTGACTGGCTTTTATTTGCATTTTAAGTGACATTAATAGGTTTGGAGAATAAGCATCTAATAAATCGCATACATTATGCACACTCAGCAAAGGCGCACGTCTAATGTGCAGACAAAAGCCTTCCCCTCACACAGGCAGACACCAGGAAATTTAACAAGCTGGGTTTCCGGCATCATTTCAAACGGAAATAAAAAGTTTTCTCCCAAAAGTGATAATGAATATCCAAACAAATCAAAAGAAGAAAGAACGTGTGGCTCACAGAGAAACAGCACAGATAATAAGAGCTCTCCTGAGATGGGCCTGGATGGTTTGCATGTGTTGGAGAGAGGCGTGGCTGAGTCACCGGGAGCAGCAGTCAGCTGTCCTCAGAGAACTGCATTTCTTCTGACCCTCAAACGACCTCTGACCTCACATGAGGCTCCAGTACAGACAGCTGGTACTGGTGTACTGGTCCCAAATAGCTCTCTACAGGTGTCACTGTCCCAGTTAGCCCTCAGGATATATAGCCCTGCCTTTTCTTTGTGCTTGGTTGCATTCTCTGCATGTGCTGCTTGGTGTTTGTGCAAGTCTCTGTGCCTTTCTTTGGATTTGATCCCAGGCTGTGAGAGTTTACTCTTTCTGGATTATAATGTTTATTGTGTTTTTGGACTTTGTGCTTCTGGGAGTTTTGTGAGCGGTGAGTTCTCTGCCTCCTGCGTCTCTAAATCTACGATCCACACAGCGAAGGATGAGGACAGGTCGTTCCACGACACCTCGGGTTAAGGTCAAGCCCCTGTGGCAGCAGACCACACGAGAGCTGGATGGGCAACCAGCTCTCGTGTCATTTAGTTCACTTTGATAATAAAAAATAAAAAGCGTGCTCTCACACTCAGAGAAATGTAGGTCTTAGATTACAGACAGAAGCATTTTCTCTGAGTGCAGAAGGAGATCGATGAACCCGCACAGCTGACTGTGAGAGCACAACGTCCTCAACAACGTCCTCAACACATTTCCATTTTGCAATTTCGAGCTTTAAAACCACTGCTGGTGATGAATGACCTCTGAGAGATGTGAGGGGTCCGTCCGCTCAGCGTCCTGCTCATTCGAGTCGCTCCGCTCGTGGATTACAAAACTCCTTCAAGCTTCTCGATGATCGTAACATTTCCAGGTCATCAGGAAGCAAAGCTGCCCACAAACCTGCTCCACAGGTCAGATTTTATTATTTGTGCAGCGATTTCTTTGTTTTAAACTTTAATCGCAGCTCTGTATTCCTGTGTGACCTGCCTGAAGAACACTGCCTCTCCAGCTCTGTCCTTTTGGGAACTTTAGATGTGCCTGAGGTTCCTTCATGGCTCTGTCGTTTCCTTTATTGTTTCCTCATAACAGGATAAAGATTTAATACCTGTAGAACTGTCTGCAGGTATTCTGATGTTTCTCTTGATGTCTTTTTCACAAGTTTCCAGCGTGCATGTTATGCTGTCGGTGTGATCTTTGCAGGAAGCCTGCTACTAGCCAGAGTACTCCTGAAACTCTGCCATGAGGAGACAGTTGGTGCTAATATGGATTGATGAACACCCGGGTCTTTAGAAATGCTTCTGTAGGCTTTTCCCAGCATCGCCATAATTCTTCTTCTGACATCCAAAAAAAGTAGTTGACATCAAAGCCATGATTTATACCAACACGGAGCAGACTGAGTAACCACACAGTCATGCTTTCATTTAAAGGAGGGGACATCTTTGCATTGCACGCTTTCATTTGGATCTCGGGCACACCTGAAAGCACAGCTCAGCTTTGTTATTTCTGCTGCATTCAACAAGGAGTCAGAGCTACAGCTGTTTGTGTGCTGCTCGTACAATCAGACGATTCAAACTCATTTTAACATCAAGTTACTATTCTGTAAATGTTCACGATCTTAGCAGGAAGCAGTCAGGTACTCACTGCAGTTCTCCTCGTCTGAGTTGTCTCCACAGTCGTTCTGGCTGTCACACCTCCAGTGGTCGGGGATGCAGTTGTTATTCTCGCAGCGGAATTCATGAGGTCCGCAGGTCTTTTCATCTTTTTCATCAGGAGCAAACAAACACTAAGATGAAAATGGCTTCAAAGAGCATGAATATTAATACTGTGCTCGCTATCACCTCAGCTTCCTCAGGGTTTCCCGACACTGAGTTCAAAACACGGTGCACACTCAAGAGGCGAACGTACCTGACTGTGCCACCAATCCCAACAAACGTGTGACAGGAAGTTGGCAAAACCGAACGTTCTGTGAGAAAACACCGGCGACAGCTGCCGAACGACGCGGCTTTAGTGGGAAACCAAACTCGCCATGTTTCACTTCCTCTGAGACGTAACACGAGCCACGACTAAATCTGATCTTTTTGAATCTGTCAGAAGCTTCGACAGATACAAACACTCGTTTCACCAGAGAGGAAACGGATTCACAGGTTTTTCGTCACGAAACGTCTCAGCAGGCAGTCACTGAAATATTCAAAGATAGGGAAGCAGTTCAGAGGTGTAGGCTTAAAATGCCTCCCACAAGTGCAATAAACAGCCTTTGAGAGTTTAACCGAGTGTCAACTCTTCTTTCATTTATTTTTTTGTTGGTTTTTGAGAAGACTGTGTGCGTTTGTCTATATGAATGGCAGCTCGAAGTTCAGAAACAATGGAGGGCCGAGTGTTTGAGCCTGAAATGAAAGCAGACGTCTCGCCGTTAAACCTTAATGGCCAGAGTAAAAATTACTCAAAATAGCTGCATTTATTTTTAAAAGAAGAACAGATGCGCTGACATTTCCTCCACTGACGCTTCCTCAGAAGCTTTCCAAAGTCAAACCGAGAGCTCCTTTTTAAAAAGTCATTTCTGTGCAGACATCATCAGGGATAATGGCCAAGGTAACGCTGTTATCAGTTAGGGAAGAGATGTGTCAAAAGAGGAGGGTGGCACATTCTGCCTGGATCTCTTTCCAACACGACAGCAGGAGGAGAGAATTGGGAGGGAAAGCTGAGTGCAGCAGCAGAGGACACGAGGCAGACATTCATTAGGAAGCGGCTCAGTCACTTACAGCGTATAAAAGATGTGACACGAGGAAAAGAAGCAATATTTCCTTGTTAAGTCAGAGCTCATTACCAAGTTAAGAAGCAAAACTTCCTTAAAAAGTCTCAGGTAATTCAAAGTGAAATTACATTAGCTGCTGATGGAGCCCACCGCGCTCCGAAGTGGTGAAAAGTGTTCAGATGACACCGAGGAGCAGGTAATACAGGCTGAGAGGCTAAAGCCATCAGTGAAGTATACAAAGTGGCAAAACATTAATTGGGCGTTACTTCAGGGAGCCTCAAGTTGACATGAAAAGCAGGAAAGCTGGAAATGAAACAAACTGTAATTACAACCTGCTGCGGAGACGTTTGAGGCGTCACACGTCGAAGCACGAAGGCACGATGAAGAAGAGGACAAGCAGAGCGCTGCTCACTCTCATCCAGGCCAATCACCTGTGTCATTGCAGGGCTACGGCACCTGATGACGACTAACGCAGGAAATGAAGCAACGCGCAGCATTTCAGAGCCGCAGATGGTGCAGTTTTATTTAACTTGTATATGTATGCAAAACATAAATGCAGCCATGAGCGAGGCATCTCTGCTGTGTGTGCTGCTGAACCGGGGAGCTTTGTAGCAGGCTGCTGTCATTTGCATATAATTTAATAAAGGTAAACACAGACGGTTGTGCGTAACGACACCGAGGCCCTGCTACAATCACACAGCGCAGATTTATCAGCAGACGCGTCCGGCTGCCTGCAGATGGCCCGATGGACGCTGCTGCAGCAGTGAATGAGAAGCTTTTCATGCATCACAAAGCAGCTGTGCAGAGGAATTTATAGATCATCACAGACAATTCCTCCTTTCATATATTTTATAGTGAAATCAAAGCGAATACTGGCTGATAGGTGAACAAGTTAAATGGAGAATTTGCATTTTAGGCATTACTCCAAGTAGTGACGCACTATTGTCAGCACAAAGATTTGAATGAGCCTCCATCCTACGTGAGAGCACAAAACTCCAGCAGCGTAAACGCAGGTCACTGTAAATCCCCTGTAACGCTCTGCAGACAGGAGCAACGCCTCAAACCCACATCAGTCTGTTTCATGAGGTCATAGCGTTTACAGGGAACTGTTCCCAGGACGGCATTTGACAGATTGACAGTAGCTCAATTTCACGTTTATAGGACAGCAAAGATTTTATTTTGTCGTTTTATTGATGTCTATTATTCGCTCGCGGTTTATAACGGAACACAACGGCGTCCTTTCAGATCTGCAAATTAAATTAAAAGCTTGATGAGAACTGATTATCATTTCCCTCAAAAGGGAGACGAGTCGTGATTGATTAAGATTCTGAGACAAAAGCGATGAGATGAATAAGAAAGATGCATTCGAGTGCAGACAAAACGCGGCTAAAAGAGCAGCTGTCAGCTTTCATCATCTGTCACGAGGAAGCAAATGTTTAATCTTTGATAATTGTAGAAGCAGCGTTTCTGGTTTTTCATTTATTTCCTTTTTTCAAAGGCACGTCATTCAGATTTCACAGCGCTGCTTTTACCTGCCCTGCTCTGCCCTGGGCTTCCAGCGCACCACTGACAAGACACCCGCTTTGATTTTGTAATTGTGAGCTGATATTCACGAGTAACGTCGGGCACGCCGAGGTCGTGAAGCTCGGCTCTTACTAACAACAGGGACGACGTCTTTCCCGCTCGGCCCGAGTTAAAAAACAACTAGAAGCAGCGAGTGAGAGCGAGCGAGCGAGGCCGAGTGAAAAACGAATTCTGCCACCTTTAACGGAAACAGAGGGAAATCTGGTTAACTCACCACAGTCCGCCTCGTCTGACCCATCTGCACAGTCAGGGTCCTCATCACAAACCCACAGTTTGGAAATGCAGTGCATGGAGGCTTTGCACTGGAACTGGTCTGGGGAGCAGGTGCTTTCAGCTACGGAGGGAATGAAGTCGCGTGAAAAGGAGAAAGTAATCCAGACATCGTATGACATTATATTTGTAGAAGAAGCTGCAGACACATTTTCAATCTAGCGAGGTAGCAGCAGCCTCTTGTTACATTGTTTCAAATGGCATTTTAATTTCAGTGGTGTCACGTTCCTCACAAAAGAGTATTCAAAACCACATCCAATCACGCTGGAAGTCTAAGGCCTGAAAGTAATTAGCTTCACTTTCATTAAGTCTCTTTCTCCTCCTGACTTTCTTGCATTTCTCTCTCTCACCCCCCCACCCCCCTGCAATCACATGCAAGACAAATGTGGCAATCTGAAAGAGTTGAACAGGGTATGATATTCTGATGAGTTACATCACTGCAGAGAAAATCTCTTCTTATCCTCTGCGTGATTCAATATCTAATCTCTTTTCACAGAAACAGGTCATAACAAGGGTTGTCTGTGGAATACTTAATGAAGACTATGTAAAGTTAATGGCTTCATATATTCTGTCCAAGCACAGAAATGCACTAAGTGCACTGAAAAAAAGGGATTTTTTAAAATCAGTTAGATTATACCTCTAAACCAGAGACGCCAAAATCCTTAAATCATCTTGTTTTTCAGCTTGTTTCTGCGGCGTTAGGACGCTGATCAAGTGAGGGATGCACGTAAGCTTCCCCCAGTCTAACATCCTGACTAAGCCATTCAAGACAATGAGTCTAAACGTAATAATGCTGAGCCTCACGGCAGTCTGTCTCGTCCTCTCCGTCGCCACAGTCGTCCTGGCCGTTGCAGCGCAGGTTAAGAGGAATGCACTTCTGTTTGCCTGTGCACTTGAACTGGCCCGACAGGCAGATGTACGTCTCTGAATTAGAGCAAAGGAAGAAGCACGAAGTCAGTTTCAGACTGAGTGGCAGTAACTCAGCAGACAACAGGTCAGTTTATCAAAACAGCTTTAATTATGAAGCAAAGGCTTTGAAGTCCTGCAGTAAAAGTGATTTTATTAATGATTAGTCTATAAAACGATACAAGCTGATGGTGACAAACGTTTCTGTTTGTCAACAATGAAAAACACAAACATGCTCAATTTACAAAAGTAAGAAAAACAACTGTGAGGCTGAACCCAGCAGAGGCCTGAAAGTCCTATAAACAAGTAATGAATTATTTATCACAATAGTTTTAGTTCATTTTCTGGTGACCGACTAAACTAATCGCCTGATTAAGTCATTATTTCAGTGCTAATAAGTAGCAGCCAAAAAAAGCAAAATAACACAAAGGAAACGATGCTGCCAGGTAACGAGCGACACAGGAGCGCCGTTTCCATCCTTACCACAGTTAGCTTCGTCCGTATTGTCGCCACAGTCGTTCTCGCCATCACAGATGAAGGGTGGAAGAGCACAAAGGCCGGTGCCACACTGAAAACGCCCGGGCTGACATTTGAATTCAGCTGTTGAGGAAATACGGTTCAGTCTATATACAGTAACAGTTTAACTGTAGCAGGCTCTGTGACCCGAGTGTCCTTACGCCCAAATCAATGTTGCTATTGCTCAAAGCTCACTAAAATAATGAGGTTGGCTTCCTCTGGTGTAGTGCGGCTCTAAAGCAACCCTGAAACAGCACGGCACTCACGGCAGTCGGCGGGCTCATCGGAGCCGTCCCCACAGTCGTCCACGGTGTCGCACTTCCACCAGAAAGGGATGCACTCGTCTGTGCCGCAGCGGAACTTTCAAAACCAAAACACAGAGTTTAAAGTCAGCGCGAACAGTCGTCGCTTCAAAGAAATCAATACGCAGACGTTTCCTCAGCCCTGAGGTGCACGTTTGAAGAGGGAAGCTTACGACACTCAAGCAATTTGTCTTCAGGGGAAAATCCTGATCAGGACAGAAGAAGGAGGGAAGAGTAACGGCTCACCTGACTGGACGTGCAGTTGGAGAGGCAGGTTTTGTTGTCGGCCGCCAAGTAAAAATTCGTGGGACAGGCACATTTGTGTTCCCCGCCGGGGGACAGGAGACACAGGTGGCTGCATCCTCCATTCGCAATCTGACACTGGTGCTTGGGAACTACACAGAAGACAGAAGCACGAGAGCGAGTTCAAACCGGATCACACAAACCGCTTTCCTCTGAAAACTCCAGAGCGCACGGACGCCGCTCGGCACCGGAGGACAGAATGAACACGAGCGCCAGATGGACTTCATACCTTCGGGCTGGCGCAGGGAGTGGTAGACCTTGATGGATTTGATGGCTTGCCAGGAGTTGAGGAGCTCGATCCCTTGAGCGCCGGTTGTCTTGTGAGCACGTCGCAGAGATTTGGACTTCCCGTCAGTCCAATAGACAAAGTCCTCAAACAAAGTCAGCGCCATTACTCCTTGGATGTGATCGTAGGACACTGGAAGGGGACGAATAACCACAGCGGACCTCAATTACACTCTGTCCTACTCTGCATAGCAACCGCGGTGCCGCTAATCCTGTAACAGCTGCACTCATGTAACACAGTGTGAATAATGATCACATACCAGTAAAACAAACTTTCATTGAGAAAATAAGCAGCTGTTCTTTAACCGAGCGACACCTTCGTCTCACCTTTGCGTCTCTGAGCGCCATCCATGGTGGCAAACAGGATGTGGTTGTCGTCGGCCCAGTAGAGCCTCTTGTTGGTGTAATCGATCGTGAGAGCTGTGGGGCTGTAGATCTCTGTGTCAATGATAACCGTCTGCCCTCGGCCGTCCATGCCGATGCGCCCGATGTGAGGAGGATCACAGCAGTCTACCCAGAAGATGTACCTGGTCAGAAGGATAGCACGGTTCAAAGAGCTGCTGTCACGAGGCCGCAGCTTTTATTGGCGTGGTAGCGTAGCGCACACGGTGATGAATGACGGCCATAAAAGGGTTTTACAAAGATTCAGATAAAAATAATCAATAATTAAATTCAGTGGGAGAACAAAAAAGCGGGTGTGCAAGACACAAATGCATCTTCCAATTTCAACTTAATGTGAGAGCGCTCATAAAAGAGCCTAACTGAAAACGTGAGAGCTGATCTCTGTGAAGCTGCGACGATCCTTCTAAGCAGGGATGCATTAAAGTGCAGCCACGACATGCTTACCCCGTCTGGGGGTCCAGAGCGAGATCTGTCGGGTTCTTGAGGCCCGAGCTGATCAGCACCGTAGGGTACAGCCCGTTGGCTTTGGACACTTCCATCGTTTTCTTTTCTGCGTCGCACCAGTACAGATTTTTTCCGATCCAGTCCACGGCTAAGGCACTGGGAACCGCTGTTCTGTGGACTATCTGGGAGCAGAGATTGAGAAAAATTAATTTTGGTGCATAGGTTTGTCCGGCGCATATCTTAGAAGTCATTAACATTTTCTTTCATGGATGAATGTCAAGAAATATATTGGATTTCAGCTGAACTGGCACGCAATATTGATAGGTCGGTGCTGTCAGTTTTAATAGAAATAGAAAGAAGAATTGTGCACTAAGAAGCCATTTTCTAAATCCCTCACACGCCCTTCAACAATAGGGAGATATTTGCCCTCAGAAAGGCTTCATCCTCCTCTTCTTCAGGACACATTAAACTGTTCTATTGTATTTAACAACTGTACACATCCAGAAGTAAAATTAGGACTATTATAGTTAGTAGGACAGATTTGTTTGAGTGTTTGACTGAGAAATGCAGCATCATTAACGGGCAGCAGAATCTGAGTTTAATGAACAAAACAGAAAGTGCATATCTGCAGCTACACAACACTGATGGGGTTTTAAATGACCTGCACATACATCACTGTATTCATTTCAGAAGGTGATAGAATCTGCAAAATTAGGACATCCAGTAAGTATGATGGCTTTAAAATGTGCTTCTTTTATTATGGCCTTAATGAGTTCACAGCCCGGGTTTGTGTTTGTTCACAGAACAGTGTACTCAGTGTACTC